TAAATGTTGAATGTCCAAGTTTGTCTCGTTAAAAAAAATGTATTTTGTTTTCGGTCCCTGTGTTACATTACTAAATATAAAACAGTGGGTTGTAGTCAAATGATACTTAAATTCGGGTTATTTTTCAGTACAGTTTATATTTTATCATTCAAGTATAAGAAATGGGTAATCATAAACCCATTTAAATACAAGTCTCTGTTTATTATCGATTCATCAAGTGTATACCAGACAAATTTATTTTGACACTTTATTTGGCAATCACTGTGATAATGGGTATATCATTATACAAAGTTTTACTTTGTAGGCTATTAGTTTAAAATTTGACAATAGGCCTACTACTATTCAACTTGATATTTACATTTTCCTTAAAACAATAATTTTGGATCAGGTAGATTTGATTAAGTTGGAAGTCAAGTTAAAGAAAAAAAAATTATTCAACTTTCAGTGCCAAAATTGCGTTAGATGCATTCTCCGCCTTCCTATATCACAATTTATAAAATAGGACAATATTTTAAAATAATACAGTCTAAAATCAAAAAGGGGAACCGAGCTCTGTAGTTTTTACAATTGCAACAAAACCGAGCGTACCTGCTTAAAGTATATAAATTGACCTGTGGATCTAAGGCTAATATTTTGCGATATCAGCATCCGCTTGAAGCGAACGTTAACTTGTCATCTACCTACCTACCTCAAGAGTAAGGTCTCCGTCACACGTCAGTACGTCAGTAAACACGTCAGACCCGTCAGTATATACGTCAAACACGTCAGTAAACACGCCAGACACGTCAATACGTCGATGCTACCTTACAAACTTATAACTTATGTTTATAAAAACTACTACATCAAAAAACGAAATTTTAAGAAATTTGCAAAACAAATCGCCATTCTTTACAGTCATTTCAATTCAATTAGTGCCGCGTACAAATTTAAGAATTATTACTTATTTATAAAGAGAAAAAGAATATTTTCTCAATGATTTATAGTGGGGTTTAAAACAACTGCCTGGTTGACAGACTCAATCGCAAACTGGGATAAGGTGTTCCAGAAAGTGAATGCATGCCTAAGATATGAAAACCGTCAAAGAACTGTTATTCCTCACAAATCAATCCGTTGGTACATGAAAAATAAAATAACTATGTGAACTCTCTCAAAACAACTGCCTTAATTGTTGGCAGACTCAATCGCAAAGTGGCCTCAGGTGTTCCGGAAAGTGTAACCATGCCTTAAAACGTTTAGGTCGAGTTTTAAACACATCTCAGTAGGTAAAAACATCAGTACGTCAGTAAATACGTCAAAGAACTGGTTTTCGCCACACGTCAATACGTCAGTACACACGTCAGAAGCGTCAAAGAACTGTTATCCCTCTTAAGTCAGTCCGTCAGTAAAGAAAAGTTAATCAAACTATGTGAACTCTCTTAAAATATCACATTTTTGACAGGCTCAATCGCAAAGTGACCTCAGGTGTTCCAGAAAGTATAAGTATGCCTTAAAACGTTTAGGTCGAGTTTTAAACACACCTCAGTAGGTAAAAACATCAGTACGTCAGTAAGCACTCCAGAACTGGCCTTCGTCACACGTCAATACGTCAGTACACACGTCAGACGTGTCAAAGAATGAAAACACGCCAGACGCGTCAAAGAACTGTAATTCACACAAGTCAGTCCGTCAGTAAAGAAAAGTTGATCAAACTATGTGAACTCTCTTAAAATACCACATTTTTGACAGACTCAATCGCAAAGTGGCCTCAGGTGTTCCAGAAAATGTAAGTATGCCTTAAAACGTTTAGGTCGAGTTTTAAACACACTTCAGTAGGTTAAGACTCAAATCCGTCAGTAAACACGTCAAAGAACTGGTCTTCGTCACACGTCAATACGTCAGTACACACGTCAGACGCGTCAAAGAAATGAAAACACGTCAGACGCGTCAAAGAACTGTTATTCATTACAAGTCAGTCCGTCAGTAAAGAAAAGTTAATCAAACTATGTGAACTCTCTTAAAATACCACATTTTTGACAAACTCAATCGCAAAGTGGCCTCAGGTGTTCCAGAAAGTGTAAGCATGCCTTAAAACGTGTAGGTCGAGTTTTAAAAACAACTCAGTAGGTAAAAACATCCGTACGTCAGTAAACAAGTCTCAGAACTGGTCTTCGTCACACGTCAATACGTCAGTACACACGTCAGACGCGTCAAAGAGATGAAAACACGTCAGACGCGTCAAAGAACTGTTATTCCTCACAAGTCAGTCCGTCAGTAAAGAAAAGTTAATCAAACTATGTGAACTCTCTTAAAATACCACATTTTTGACAGACTCAATCGCATAAGTGGCCTCAGGTGTTCCAGAAAGTATAAGTATGCCTTAAAACGTTTAGGTCGAGTTTTAAACACACCTCAGTAGGAAAAAACATCAGTACGTCAGTAAACACGTCAAAGAACAGGTCTTCGTCACACGTCAATACGTCAGTACACACGTCAGACGCGTCAAAGAGATGAAAACACGTCAGACGCGTCAAAGAACAGTTATTCCTCACAAGTCAGTCCGTCAGTAAAGAAAAGTTAATCAAACTATGTGAACTCTCTTAAAACAACTGCCTTAATTGTTGACAGACTCAATCGCAAAGTGGCCTCAGGTGTTCCAGAAAGTGTAAGTATGCCTA